TTCTGTGTATTAGGATGAAAAATATCACTTTAAAAGAGGCATTGGAAATTTCATTCTTAAATCTCTCTTCTTGAAGCTTATGACTGTATACTTTCATGAAATCTTTCCATGTTTCTTCCAGATTTAAGAAACAGAGGCATCTCCTATTGGCTCACTCACCCTCTGATAGTGCTGCACTAAGACCGCTGCGTCAATACCTTCAAAATCTCCTTTATTCACCACAGTCCGTAGTAACCATTTAGAGACTTTTTTCTTACTGGAAGAGTTCCTTGAAAATTCCCTCTCCTTTCCCCATTCTCTGTAAATCATTTCAGTTTTCTCCTCATCTCTAATTTTCACAGGGGAAGCTGAGGAAACAAATCCCCCATGACTGTTGCCTGATTTTGCTGCAACAAGGTGGGTATCCAAGCAAAAGGTCCCCCAGGTGACAGTGCATACAATGACCTGGGCAAGAAGCATAATGAGTGATGGGAATCCTGGTATTTGTAAATAGAAAGGCCCAGCCCACTTCCAGTCTTGCTTCTGCCCACCAAGCTTCCCTGGGAGTGCCCTGGTAGATAATGAAGTTTCTCACAAAGTAAGATGGAAAGTGGAGTCTCATCAGTGTAGACTTACAAACCAACTCTCATGAGAGATCCGTAATGATTTGGGAGGATCAGCACAACAATTGGCAGTGTGAGAAAGACTGCAGGGCAATGACTACGACCCACAGACGTCTTTATTCTCTTCGTCTGTTTGCTCACAGACTCTGCTGAGCAGTGGAGAGCTGCCTGCTGGAGACCTGGTGCGTTGGGCTGGGCTGTGTGCCACATCTACTGAGTTCTACCAAGTATCGATTATGTGGAGGACTGAGTTAAGTCAGTAATTAAGTGGCATTGAGAGACATGAATATGGGATTGGAAACTCCTCAGGGTGACCTCTGGTCCTGTGTCTGAGACTGCAACTCCCTGTGTGTCGTAGAGTGAATTCTATATCTTGAAACCAGAATAAGCTGTAGCTGACACTTTCCTCAAGAAAATGATTCTTACCCTGTGCTCTGTTGCTTGTGTCTAAACTTGTATTGTCCCAGACCCCATAGAGAACTGAGAGGGAAACATATATAGCCCATTTGATCATGAATCACGTGAAGACTGAGCTGTCCTTGTTGGGGATGTGGGCTGTAGAGGTCCATGATCCTTCAGCCAGATGGTCATGACGATCCTACAAATGGCTTTGATGGATGCTGCTGCTGCTGCCTAGGCTCCTGTCACAAAAGAGACTTTGATCCTTCAGATTCTTGGGAAAAGCAAGCACGCAGGCCTCTGGGACATCCCAAGGTTTAATTCAACCATTGCCATGGGGGATAAAATTATTACAATGTTGATTTGAGGCTCTTAGGCATGAGCAACTTATACATATGTCCAGACTAGAGAAGACACACCTAAATTACACCTAAAAACTAAACAAAATGGAAAAGAAACAAGAAGGAGGATGAGGAGGAGAAGGAGAAGAAGAAAAAGAAAGATGGATACATCTTTATGCCAGCCTAAGTCACACTCTGCCTTTTGTGCATTTGAGAAGTTTTCCTCCTATAACAATGAGTCTTTTAGAAGTCAGAGTCATCAGAGGAAGACACAGAATCCTTAATCTGGTATGACTACCCGAGGAAACTTTCGCATCAGACTTGGGTCAGTCCCTCCGTTGTTCCATCACGTTCAGCACCTTGGACAGTAGTTCTGGCAGCAGCAAATGGAAACACACTTTAGAATTTGGACATTTCTGGTTAGGACAAATTTTTGCTTCTCAAGGGT